GCGGGGGGGGGAGCCAGTCCTTCCCGGGGAGCAGAGCCACAGAAGGGGAAGACCGGCGAGCGTTAGGACCCAGAGAACCACCAGATCCAAAACAGAGGGAGTGATCTCTCTCTTTCCCCCCCTCTTTGATCCCCAAGGGCTTTTTTTCGCCTTCCCACAGCTCCCAGTTCTGGTGAGGAACTGGTCCCCGCCTCGGAGGCAGCCTCTTCTTTCCAGGGATGCGCTGTGAACATCTGGAAGGGTGGGGGCTGGGCTGAGCCAGCCAGCTTCCCGGGGTGGGGGGGGAAGGCTGTGGCTTAGGGATGCTGAGAGTGCCTGGGTGGGCAGGATTGGATCCCTAGCTTTGCTGCCTCTCTGCCTCCACCCCCACCCACCCACCTCCCTCCCTCTCCCTCTCTCTCCAGCCCTGGCAGATTGCTGGCCTTGGATTCGGTGAGTTCCCAGAAGGACTGGGGGCCCTCGGAGGGGGGGAAAAAAAACCTCCCTTTTATTCCTATTTTTCTCTGGCTGTGGTTCCTTTGCTTTGGTGCTGGGGCAGAACCAAAGAAGAGGAGGAAGAGGAAGAGGAAGGCAGGCTGGCCTCCGAGGGACCCAGGTGTCCGGGGGGCCGTAGAGTCTCCCCCGAGGGTGTGCCAGGCGTGGGGTTTCTTCTAGAAATGTTTGGAGGGGTCTGCTTGTTGGCTGGGTTTTGGGAGTGTGTGTGTGATAGATAGATCTATGTTTGGAAAATGCTGGGTGGTATTTTTCCAGCTGAGGGAGCAAAAAAGGTTTGTAAATATAGTGCCAAAGCTTTAAAATCCAGGTGTGCCTATGTAGAAAGGAGGGAAGGAGGCATGCAGAAGGCAAGGTTGGGTGGGTTGTGAGGGGGGTCAGCTGTTGTGTGAACTTTTGGGGCTTGGGTGCTCTGCCGGCGCGGACTGGGTGGCACAGATGTGGGCGCAGCTGGTATCCTGTGCGAGGAGGAGGTCCCGTCCCCGGGTTCATCCCTTTGCATCTGTGACATCCCCCTCTGGCTCTGGACAGGCTGGTTTGGGAAGCTTAGCGGGGTCGGGCTTGGTGGGAGTCGGAGAGGATGGAGACCACCAGGAAGCAGCAGGAGGAGGAGGAGGGCTTGGAAAGGATCCCACCTCAAGCCCCAGGTAGTTGGTCAGAGCTGACAGGTCAAAGGTAAGGCAGCTTCCCCTTCTCTGCCTTCGGGTTCAAGATAAACCCTTCATTTCAGGAGAGACCGGCCGTGTTCATTGGTCCCAGTATAAAAGAGAGCGTTTTATGCCACCTCGAAAACTAACAGATTTATTTTAGCAGGAAGTCAACCTGCTAGCCTTCGCAAAGGTGCCCAAAGGTGGTGGTGGCGGCGGTGATGACGGTGGTGCTGAGTCCCAAAAGGGAAGGGATGATTCCGAGCATCATGTACGGTACTCTGGTTTATATGAGGAAAAGCTTCTGGAAGTCCAGGTGGCGGTGGATTTATTTTTCTTTTTTTGACAGATGTAGGGAAAAGTCAGCCCATCTGCTATATTTCGGGCGTGTTTATGGGTCTGTGTGTGTGTTTTCTCCTCAGTTTTCGGTGAGCAAGCCCCTCCGCCGATCCATCCTGTAGCCATGGTGGGATAAGAAGGAACACGCCCCCCGTTCGGATCATGGCAGGACGGTCCTGCGCCCGGGACTGGCACCGTCTCATGGCTCCGCATGAAGGCAAAGACCCGCCCAAGCGCGCCCCTCGACTCTCGCCACCTGAGACACCCAGCCTTGGTAAGGAAAGAAAAGGGGTTATTTTTCCCCCTTTCACAATATTTTTTTAAAAATCAGTTTAGGACAAACCTGGGGAAATTTTGCCCAGCCAAATCTGTGAGTTTTAGATGGCTGATATTTCCACCAAGCAGGGTCAAGGGGGAAAAGGGGGGAAAAAAACCTCCAAGATCTGACAACTCAAATCCCTCCAGGGCCAAAATAATGTCTTACTTCCACGGAGGGCTTAAATGGTCCACAGGTTTGAAACCGTGGGGGTTGTATTGTTTCTTGGGCTTCTCCGCTGCTCCTGCTAACTCAACAAGCAGGAATTTTATGCCCCAAACGGGGGTTCTGAGAAAGGAAACATGTATCTGCTGAAATCTAAAGTTTGCAGAAAGTAAATGGTATGTTCTTTGTGAACCTACAATGANCCAGACTTTTGCACAGGTTTTAATATTGTAGATTCCTGTAGGAGGGAAAAAAAAGCAGGGTTAAGCATGAACAGCAACTCAAATCCCTCCAGGGCCAAAATAATGTCTTACTTCCACGGAGGGCTTAAATGGTCCACAGGTTTGAAACCGTGGGGGTTGTATTGTTTCTTGGGCTTCTCTGCTGCTCCTGCTAACTCAACAAGCAGGAATTTTATGCCCCAAACGGGGGTGCTGAGAAAGGAAACGTATACCCGCTGAAATCTAAAGTTTGCAGAAAGTAAATGGTATGTTCTTTGCGAACCTACGATGAGAATATATATATATATATATTTTAATCCAGACTTTTGCGCAGGTTTTAATATTGTAGATTCCTGGGGGGGGGGGAAGCAGGGTTAAGCATGAACAGGTGCAAAGTGGATGAGAGCTGGAATATTTCCAAACCTCTAGCGCTTGGCCAGCTTGAAATACTGTAAATATTAACCAGGATTTTGCAAAACAGCAGGTGAGCGTCAATCATTTACCCCTTCCTACCTGGTTGGGTGGTTTGCCATTTGAGGGGAAACTTAAGGTCTGTGCTTGGCCGTTTTACATTTACACCGCCCCGAATAGGTGGATAGCTGGGTAGTTCAGTGGTTGAGGCGCCTGGCTATGGAGCCAGAGGTTGGGAGTTTGAATCCCCCATGGGACCTCTCTGACAGGGGCTGGACTGGATGACCCCACAGGTTCCCTTTCCAGCTCTGCAGGTCTAAAATTATACAATGCTGTGCACTAAAGGGGTGGTGAATAAATGAACCAATCAATCAATCAATCAATAAGAGCATAATGAGGAGGGATCAGGCCCCTCTGGGCCTGCCTTACAAGGTTGTCGTGAGGATAAAGTAGGAAAAGTGAGAGCCACAGCTGCCGTTTTGATCCCTACTGAGAGAAAAGGTAATTTATATTTATTATACTTATATCTTACCTTTCCTTCCGCAGGAAAAAGAACAGGTTTCACACTCAAAACAAAGGTCTGGAATATACTATCCAGAGATAGGAAGGGGGATATGATTTCTTTGCTTTGTTTGACTTATTCTCTGGCATAAGATCCACAAAGAAGTATGGGCAACACCATCCTGTCTTGAATGAAGCGATCTCGGTTGATTTAAGAAGCCAAGCGCAGCCAGGATTCGTTATGGAAGGCCTCCAGATCTCTCCAGGCAGGGCTAGGAAAGGGTGAACCTCAAAAGGTTAGGCAGAATCGGGGTCTGTCTCAGGAGAAAGGCGATTCCAATAACTGTGTTCCTCTGACTGTATTTATCAAAAATGGAAATCGAGGCACGGAGACCACCACACGGCCTTTATGCTCCATCTTTCTCCTGCCTCCCCTCTAATGTTTCCAACAGATGCTTGCTCTCCTCTCTGTCTCCTTCCCTCCCTTCTGTGTCCATTAGAGATTTTTTTTCCCAGTCATTCTGAGTGCAGAGCAGGCTGGGAGAATCTCTAATTAGAGACTTTATTTAAAAAAAAACCCCTATTAAGCTCTTGTGATTGGCACTTGCATAAGATGCAACCGCTTGCAATTCATTCCTCTCTCTTTTTCCCCCCACAATTGCTAGGGATAACTAAGTCACATTACAAGGAGTGTGTGACATATCAGAACAGCTCCTTTTGCAGGATGTAGAACCATAAGCCCTAAATTCAGAATTGCCCTACCTGAATTTCTTCGACTCAAAGCACTGAACATTATGTCTGTAAAAGGAGCTGTGTGACTACTTTCCCACTCTGCTCTAATTGGTTACTACCCTCCTACAATATACAGAAAGATACCCTAGCTGAATTTTTCCTGCTCTGCTTCTCTAGATCTACAGTTAGATTGATGGTTATCCTGCTTTCCTTCCTCCTCCTCCTACCTGCTGCTTGTTTCTCCTAGCCGGAAAGGCAAAGCCAAAACTGGCTTCTCCCTAAGAGCTGAGCAGACATGCATGCCTATTTAGAGGTTTCTGTAACCAAGTTTAGGGCTCTGTCTCCTGCAGTGTTCCTGGAGGAACGTCATGAAGCAATTAGGGTTGGTTTTCAGTTTTAACTCAGTTTCACGTTTCTGCAGTAGCTGCTTCCTAATTAATAACCATAAGCTCTGCACTGGCCTGGCTGTACTCAGCTTGTGTTTTCAGACACTGGCTTCCTTTATGAGTCCGCCCATCTCGTATTTGATCTCCCTCTTTTCCTGGTGCCCTCCTCCTTTCCCAGCCTCACCGCCTTTTCCAACTAGTCTTATCACCTCGTGAGGTGCCCAAAATATGATTGCTTCGGTTTTGCTGTATTTGCTTTTGGGGAAAGTTTTTTTTTTCTTAATTTGATCTGGCAGGTCTTAATTTCACCTCTTTCAAAATGGGGTGTCTAAACATCTACTCCATCATCCTTCTGGCTGGGTGCCCTCCTCCCCCCCCCGACTAACAGAACCCAACATTTTCACTCATTGTTGTCTTTGAACTTTGGCCTCCCAGTAAGCGACACTTTTAATTCAAGGTTATAAAACCTCCTTTATAAGATGTCTCAGCTCTTCTGACCTTTTTAACTGGATTACAGAGGGTTCAGCCCTGTGAGGGTTTCAGGGTTCGGCTCTGCCGTGGGTTAAACATTGACGAGATCACACGGTGTGCGATCCCTTTGAGTGGATTGCTCCTGGCTTTATCTCCGGGCATCGGGGTAATCTATTTATCCCGTGAAGGAAGAAGGGGGTTGTTTAAAACCCACAGTTGCTTGGGGTGTGTACGTGTGTGCAGACCCTTACGTAACAACGGCAAAATAACCGGTGTGTGTTTGTGTGTGTGTGCGTGGATAAGAAAAGGGGGCAAGCCATCTGGATCCCTTGCGTTGTCTCCTAAATAGATAATACACATGCCATTCGCATATCAACACCTCCACACTGAGCTAGGGAGGCCCAGTGCTGGTTTGGAAAAAGTGGAGGAAGAGTGTTTGCTTGTTAAAGCCACCGCATACTGCCGAAATATTTCCTCTCTCTCTCTCTCTCTTCTCATCTCCTGCTGTTCACCCTCAGTTTTGCCTCTCCTCCGTGGAGGCACAAAGAAGCACAGGGATTCCTTGAAACCCGAGCCAGCCTCCAAAGATCGGGGCTTCCTATGGGGAGGCCCACCTGGGAAGGTGGAATAGGGCCAGCCCTGCTAGGAGGGGTGTTTGTGTGTGTGCGTGTTTCTCCTTGAAAAGGAAAAACGGGGACTTCATCTGATGGCTTTCTTTCTGCACACTCGTAAAGCTGTTGCTCTGGGCTCTGCTGCTCCAGAGGGTAAGACTCGAACTCGTGGACTGAAAGATCAACAAAGGAGACAGTGACTAAACATTAGAGAGAAATTTCCCAGCAACAGCTCTGGTGTTCAGGATGGTGTTGGAAGGTGCTGGGCTTTCCTGCCTTGGACATCTGGAGGCAGAGGTTGCAGGAGGGCCCTGTCTGGGAGACTTTTCCTGTGGATTGCTAGCCTCAGCCGGGGTTGGAGTAGATGACCCCTAAGGGTCCCCTTTCCAAGTCAACCGTTCCCTGACTCTCAGAGTTCCTCAGAAAGAGGTCAGGGTGCGGTGGGTGGTGGAAGGTCTGGGTGGAAGATGACTCATTTCTGAGAGGCGTGTGCCCTGCTCTCAAAGCAGATAAGATTTTTTTTTCCTTTTCTCAGTGTCATGAGCCATCTGCTTGGGGGTAAAAGACTATCGCACGGCAGGATTGGGGAGGGCAAGAGGCGATGCCTGAAGGCAGGGGACAAAATGAGAAGGATGAGCAGCCACACAAGGAAGATCACCCAATCTCATTGCTTTCTGCACAGGTAGCCAAGTTACCTTGATCCAGGCGGTTCCCACCTAAAATCGGGAAAACGACATGAAAAGCCACACGGTAAGCCCGTCCCGTCCGCTGTCCCCTCTCGGTCCCTGACACCCAGCTTGACGAGTCACCTTTATGACTGGCAGGTGCGCATTAACGTGAATGCTCTGTGCTTTGCGAGTGGCGGCTCCATCACCGTCGTGAAATTCAGAAACCTGGTTTCTATTCAGGTTTCTTCGGGCTGGTGCAAAGCAGAATCGATTTCTCTCCTGTGTTATGATCTCAAATGGCTGAGACAACCCTCTATTACTTCCAAAGCTTGACGAGTCACCTTTATGACTGGCAGGTGCGCATTAACGTGAATGCTCTGTGCTTTGCGAGTGGCGGCTCCATCACCGTCGTGAAATTCAGAAACCTGGTTTCTATTCAGGTTTCTTCGGGCTGGTGCAAAGCAGAATCGATTTCTCTCCTGTGTTATGATCTCAAATGGCTGAGACAACCCTCTATTACTTCCAAAAGCTTTATTATTATTA